AGTTTTTTTACCTGTAATATTATAGTGAAAAATAACATAATAAAAGATCTTGAATGAATTTAAAAAATTAACCTGTGAAATCATGAAAAATCCTGAGATAAAGGCCCGAAAACTACAATTTTTTCAAAATAGGCAACTGTTCTACCTTTTAACAATATTTGTCTTAAAACTTTAAAACAACTATTTTTGAATGTTTATGCACCTCACAAAAAAAGGTTTATTTTAAAACTAAAAAAAAATTATCCCTGTGTAAGTTTTCCTCAGCATGTTGCTAATGGTAGATTTTCTATAATGGTTTAGTATCAATGCTTAATGCTTACTTATGCGAGATTGGAAATAATTTTCTGAAAACGAATTTTGAAAAAATATATGGCAGTCTATCTAAGAAAAGATTTTATACTCATTAAAACTTTAAAAGCAAGATATTTAGGTACTAAGTTAAAACTTCTGACCAAAATTGTAATTTAGGAAAAATTTTATGGGTGATGTTTCAATTAATTTACATAGAATTATTTTAATTTTTTCCCAGACATATATACAGTGCGGCGCACTGACTGAACCTCCTCTGTATAAATACTAGAGGGGGTTTACCGTCTGAACCCCCTTTAGCATTTATACATTTATGAAAAGGTCTATGAAGTTAATTTTAAAATATGTTTTTTAAATAAAATTTGAACTATAAAATTAAAGCCGAAATATGAAAAAATTGAAATATTATTGATGATGGTTAGGAAAACAAATGGTAAAAGGAAAAAAATTTTATTTAAAATATGCATATAAATTTCGAAATATTTACAAATTAAAACTTATTTAGTGTTTCTTTTTCTTAAAAATTACTTATTTGACCATTTAAAGATTGCTGAGTACGTATAAGTAATTCCGATTTAATTTTTTTTATCTCTTTTATAAAAATTTAATACTTAAAAATAACTGAAAACATTGTAAATTCTAACTTAACTTTACTCGAATAACACATTATTTTTCTTATACTTTGTTACCAAGTATTTGTATCAGATTCAAGTTTCCAAGATACTCATCCATGGGGTGACTTACAAGAAGGTGTAATATCAAGCGGCTAAAAAGAATAAAATACTAGATTACCTTTAATATTTAATTATCCAAGATTCATAAATAACAAATTATTTATTAAATTTTATCAAAATGGCCCTACCAACATCCTAATCTAATTAATAATACTGAACTTATTGTTAGTAATAGCTTTCAAGCCTATTTGACGGGGTACCCTTAGCAGCCATTGCAAGTGAGGTAATGGCAAGAAAGAGTTGCAGCACTTTGTTTTATAAGAAATATGTGTGCAAATATATAGCATACGTAAACTTTAAACTTTAAATGTTAAAACATATTTTAAAATATACTAAAGCATTTATCAGGTTTTACCTTTTGCATTTCACTTGAAAATTGGATTGCGTCAAGCTCTTCTAAATTTTGATCTATAACACTTTTTTCTTAAAAAAATCATTATATTGTTTTAATATAATTCGCTTGAGAACGTGCCAGTGTGGCCAAATAGATAAGGCGCCGAGCTTCTGAACATATAGGCCGAGGTTTGATTCCTACCAATTGCGACTTATTTTTTAATTTTTCTCAATTATTTTAAAATACAAAATACTTTTTAAGTTTTATAAAGATTATACACAAACGTATGTAACCTAACGATATTATACACTTTCAAAAAATAAAAAGTTTTAAGAAAGCTAAAATTTCATAAAACATCAACAAAAAAAAATCACCGGGAGAAAAAATTTGTCGCCTGTGTATGATGATTGAGGACTATTGTAATTGTAATAAAAACAATAACAGTAACAATAACTATTGTTATTGTATTAACTTAATTTAGAAACAATAACAATACTTGTGATTTACAACTATTGTAATAATGTAATGCAATAACAATAGATATTGTATTGCAATTCATCTTTATAAAACAATATCAACATCTGGAAAAAATATGTGTTGTAATGACTACTACAATAACAATTAATATTGTATTGTAATTCGTCTTTATAATACAATAACAATATATTGTTATTGTAATTAAAAAAAATATTTTAGAGTCAAAATTTAATAAATGTTTTAACAGTTCAGTCTCTAAGATAAGTGACCTTGAAATAGGGTACAACTAATATATAAGTATTGATTCTGTTTCTTTTTTATTATATAAACTTTATATAGCTCTATAAAAGTGAGTTTCATCTGGCCTGTATTTCTTTTACTGCTGGAGATAGACATGATTAACTACTACCATTTCTTCCACTAAGTTATTTGCTTTTACATTAGGCACCTATCCAATTGTTTCGAAGCTTACTCAACTCACACTTACTCTAATATAACTTTGCCTTTTGTTTCCATTCGGCTTTATGACTGTATGTATTTCATAACTGGACATCTAGTTGCAAAGTTATAAAAGAGTTTTGTTACATAAATCAAGAACCAATATTTATTCGGTGTTCTAAACTGCCTCATTTTTCAAAAACGATCCACACAAAATTTATTGGTACGGTCTGATATAGGTGATGAACAACCTGAAAATGTAGAAACTTTTTAACAAAACAAAAGTAGTTCACATTTTCAGACAATCTAATCAATAATTACTCGGGTTAACGGTTCTTTGATTCTATAACGATGTAATTGATTACACATTAGCGGTTAGATATATTAAAAAAAAAAGCGCTTAATTTAGTTAATCAAAAAGTTTAGACGTCATCATCCGGTGAAACATGTCAATATCAGTTCAGACAAAGTTATAAAAAAATATAAAATTTTACTTTTAAAAGTATATAATTATTTAATTACAAGCATATGATAAATTATATATTTGTATGATTTTGAATGAATATTATTAATGTTAATTCTAAATAAATTGTTATTGAAACAGTTATATTATTGAACTCAAAATAAATAAAATTTATATATGTACATGGTTTCTAGAAACCTAATATTTATTAAGTATACGTAGTATATATATTTCTTTGACTTCCATGGCTTTACTTCACTTTTCAAAATAAATAAAATTTATATATATAAATCACTGCTGAAAACGAGCGTCACGGGCACCCCTAAATTATCTAGGGACCAAATAATAATAAACGCGTGAAAAAAGAGTCTAAATACTATAAAATACAATAGCTATTAGACTTTGAAATAGTAATATAATACATCAATGTACTAAATGTAATTGTTTTTTATCCCAGCAATACAATACAATAGTTGTTGTAATTGTTTTACATCACAGCAATACAATACAATAGTTAATGTCATTGTATTACATCACAGCAAAACAATACAATAGTTTTAGAGCTTCAATGTATTGTTAGAAAAAAAAAACAATACAATAGTTATAGTAACTGTTTTTATTCACAGCAATACAATAACCATAAATAATGTTTTAATTGCATCTCTGGTATTACAATACAATATTATTGTATTGTAATTGTTATTGTATTTAATTTTTACAATAATAATAACAATAGTCCTTACCCTAATTGAGACACATGTTAAAGATGAGCTCAGGTAGTTAAAGCTAATAAGCTACAAATGGTCTGAAAAAATGTTGTCTGCAACTAAATGATGAAAAAACTTAATAAGAAAGTCCTACTGCTCAAGAAGATGCTGCTGTGGAGGCAAAAAAAAAATTAAAAAAAAAATACCCTAAGCTAGATAAAAATTTAGAACTTTCTCTTTAAAATTAAAAGTTAATTTTGCTACATTTACTTTTTTACTATAAATAAATGCTGCAACCGTTTTTCAAAACGCTTTATTACGTATTTCAAGTATAACGCAATAAAAAAGTAATTGTTAGGAGAAACTCTTTGTAAAACGTTTTTTGAAACGAATAATTTTTATGAATTTTTTCAGAACTCTTTGGAAATATCTACTCAATAACATTTGTAGGCATCTAAACTAGCTTATTTTGTGAAAAAGTCAAAACTGATTTTTTTTTTTTTTTTTTTACTTAAAGCGTTTTGAAAAACGGCTTCAGAATGGATGATACAACTAATATGTTGAAATGAGATAATTAGACGCAAAATAAATTTAACAAATGCCACTAAACCAATAAAATTAAAAGTAATTGCAGTTCAGTGCACTTGAAAGTTTTAAGTATACAATGTTGGTATTTGCAAAGAAACATGTGAACCGTTTTTTAATTTATTTATTTTTTTTTTTTTTTCAGTTCACAATTATTAATCGTAATATAACAATATAACAATATATAAACTTGGTATCTGAAAGAAGATCCAAATGATCTTGTCGCCAGAACCATATAAAAGATATAATACGTGTATAAATAATAAAATAAAATACAATTGATCAAATAACTAATAACGATGAAGAAGAAACAAAAACTGAAAATAATTTTACAAATTATCCAGAGTAAAAAAAAAGAATTTTACATTTCAAAAATATTTATATATATTGCCAGTAGAAAGAATATAGTTTTTTGATTTAGTTTTAAAAACGGAAAACGAAATTGACAAATCAAAATTTGGAACAACAATTTTGTTCCATAAATGCGGTGCTCTATAGTTTATGCAAAATTGATTAAACTTTGTTTGACAAAAGGGTTCAATTAATAAATAATTATTTCGTAAAGCATATTTGTTTATAGCTTTATAAGTAAAAAGATCTTTGAAATTGGACAATGGTCGTTCACTTTTACAACGAAACATAAAACATAAAATATTATAGACATTGAGTTCGTAAACGTTAAGTGCTTTAACGTTTTGAAATAAAATATTTGAATGAGAAAAACGATTTTCGAAACATATTAAACGCACTGCGTGTTTCTGACGATGGTAAAGACTTCGTAACTTACTTTTAGATGTACTTCCCCAAACAATATTTGCATAATTTATATAGCTATGAATAAACGAGTAGTAGAGTTGAATTAAATTTTATTTACTTAGATAGTATCTGACCTTATATAGAATTCCAATACTTTTAGCCAATTTAGTAGAAATATAGTCGATATGATACTTCCATGTAATATTTTCCTCAATGTAAATGCCTAAAAATCTTGAGACCGACTCCTTTTTTATTTCAATTTTATCAGTAAAAAGTTTAGGCAATTTATTTGGTAAAAAACGCCTTTTAGCAAGAGAGTGGAAAAGGATCCACTTTGTTTTGTCAATGTTTAAAGTTAACTTGTTGCACTTAAACCAGTTGGAGATCTGATTGAGTTCATTATTCATATTTGAAAAAAGCTCATTAATGCTACTGTTTGATAGAAATAAATTAGTATTGTCCGCAAAATTTATACTCATAAGGTTAGAAGCTTTATTTAAATCATTTATATAAACTAAAAACAAAAGTGGGCCTAGAATAGAACCCTGTGGAACACCACATTTTATGTCAATTAATTTTTCATTTTGAAAATAATCTCCATAGAAAACAAATTGTTTTCTATTTTCCAAGTAACTTTGATACCATTTTATTAATTTGCCATTAATTCCGTAAAACTTGAGTTTTTTAAGCAGAATTTTGTAATCGACCGTGTCGAATGCTTTTGATAGGTCAATGAAAATACCTAATGTGTATTGTGATCTACCAAATGAATCGGAGATTTCACGAATGAACTGTGTAATAGCTTGTTCAGTTGAACAATTTTTTTTAAAACCGAATTGATTTTTATATAGAAGTTTATTTTGATTAAGGTAATTGTATGTTCTATTGTATATAATTCTTTCTAAAAGTTTTGAGAAAGTTGAAAGAACTGAGATAGGGCGTTAATTACCAACATTTGATTTTTTTCCGTTTTTGTATATAGGAGTTACTTTAGCTATTTTTAATTGGTCGGGGAATACACCTTGCTGTATAGATGCCCTAAAGACTTTATAAAGAATACAATTTAAGTTTTCAAAGCAATCTATGACTATGTTGCCATTTATTTCGTCCGCACCCGTAGCTTTGTTTCTTTTGAGAGATTTTTAAGCTCTCTCAAACTCATCAAAAGATAAGTCAGAATGTAAATTATCTATAAAAAGCGAATTATTTATAGGCTCTAGGAAATCACTAAAATTTTTTTCTGTAATAGGGATCTTGTTTGCCAATTTGGTTCCTATGTCAATGAAATATTTATTAAACTCGTTTGCAATTTCGTTTGGTTTATATATATTTGTTTTATTTATTTTAATTACCTTAGGAAGGGAGTTTGAATTTGTTTTTTGTTTTCCTGTTATTTCTTTCAACGTTCTCCAAGTATTTTTTGAGTCGTTTTTAAATTTACTAATTAAATTTGAATAATAATTTTTTTTTTTAATTTTTTACGAATTTTTTCAAATAAATGTTGGTAATTTTTATATTTTTGTTGGTTTTCATTTGATTTTGTTTTTAGATATTTTATATATAGTTTCTGTTTTATTTTAGAGGATTTTCTAAGTCCTTTGGTAATCCATGGACTATTTAAGGTTTTTATTTTTGTTATTTTTTCACAAAGTGGAAAGTTTGCATCGTATATTGAGAAGAATGTATCAAAGAATTTATTATATATTGTATTTGCGTCTTCATTAAAGTTAATATGTTTCCAATGCAGAAGTGATAATTGATATTGGAAGGATTTTATATTGCTCTCATTGAAGACACGTTTTTTTTTTATATTTTGTTTTTCGGGGTTATTAGAGGATACAGTATGGATTGTTAGAAAAATGGGGAAATGATCAGATATGTCGGTTTTTATAATTCCTTTTTTTAATTTTCCATTATAAATATCTGTTGTAAAAATATTATCAATCAACGTAGTTGAAGTTTTGGTTATTCTAGTAGGGCGATTAATTAAAGGAACAGCTCCTGCCATAAGTATTTCATCATAAAAACTTTTTATTTTTTTATCTTTATTATAAATTAAACAGTTCATGTTGAAATCTCCAGTTATAAAAGTAATTTTGTTTTCTTTGCTACCTTTGTGAATGATACTTTGCTGTAAAAAGAAACTAAGATTTTCAGACGCACCATCAGGTGGTCTATAACAGCAGCTTAATAAAATATTATTTTTTTTATAGTTTAAAATTTCAATAGTTACGATTTTTTTATCACCGTCAGAAACGCACATATCATTCCTAATGTTATGCGCAATGTGTTCCTTAACGTAAATCAGAACTCCTCCACCGCGTTTATTTGTTTGTCTTTCTAATAAAATTGTTTCAAAACCTGGAAGATGGAAAATAGAATTATTTTTAAAATCATTCGACGAAATCCACGTTTCTGTTAAGCAAATTATGTTAAAAATATTTTCAGTTTCATCTAAAAAATCGCAAAACTTTTCAAAATTTGTAGTTAGACTTCTAATATTAATGTGAAGGATTCTGATTTTTTGATTTTCAGAGCCATTTTTATTAAGAAATTCTTTTAACTCATTGGTATAAAAATAAGAACAACATGTGTTCACATCATTAAAAAAGTTGACATCTGGATCTGAATTAAAATTTGATTTTAAGTACTTATCATGAAAATTAAAAGTAATGGATTCGTAGTCATCCATTTTTGTTTTTAAATTTAATTATAGAATATTAAAAGAATTCCTTTATAATAGGTCGCGCGTAATTAATTTATTGTAAACTACTTTAGCAAACTTACCTTTCGCTCTCAATTCTTTCGCTTCTTTGAAAAGCTTTCTGCGTAAATCCATAGTAAAATCGCTAAAGACTTCGTTAACGTACAACCGTTCGTTCCATAGTATATTTGTTTAACACTAGGGCTTTGTCTTTGTAGTTTTGAAACCGAACATTTATTGATCTGTTTTTTCCGTTTTCTTGTCCAACTTGATGGGCTCTATCTTAGAACGTTATCTGCATCTTACAACGTTAAAAATGATAGGCGAGGCTTTTTCTTAATTCGTAGAAGCCACAATTTATTCGCGTATGTGACGTCACTTTGCGGCAAAAAAGTATAAAAACAAACAAACAAAAAAATTTGATTTAAATTTTTAAAAAAAATTCCTACTAAAGATATATAGGGTTTATTTTTTCGGGATATATTTTAATTAAGACAAAAACTCTTAATTTATTAATATTGTCATAAATAAAATTTCTTATCAGTGAATTTTTATATCTGTACCGGTTTTATATATTTTTATGCAATTGTATGCAATAATTAAAATTAATCAAAAAATGTAAGATGCAAAAGAAAATTTGACGCATTAGGGTTAACTTTGCCACAAACCGACGTCAATACGCAAAATATATTTGGCTTAACTTTTTGATTAGGGTTTTATAGCTAAGGCTATATTATTCTTTAGTTTTTAATAATAACCATTAAAATGTATTTTTTTTTATCACCATATTTTAGTGGTCTAAGACCTTTTTAGTAGGGCTATTCCATTTTTACCATTTAAAATTGGTATAGATGTGGAAAATTCTGTAACAAAATCTAAGAATAATGGTGTAACTATTTTTTTAATTAAAATGGTTAATTGATTAGGGCGAGGTATTTTAAATGCTATTTTTATAAAAAAAAAAAGTATTACAAGTTTAACTAATTATGTTTATAGCGCGCTGTACGGAACAGTAAAACCAATAAACTTCTACACAAATGATGTAAACAAACCACCATAATAGTGGTAGTTTTTTTTTTTAATAAAAAAAAAAGTTTAATTTTGTTACACATTGCCAACAATTTTCGTTGCTGTCAATATTCACACACATATATATATATATATATATATATATATATATATATATATATATATATATATATATATATATATATATATATATATATTTATATATATATATATATATATATATATATATATATATATATATATATATATATATATATATATATACATATACATATACATATATATATATATATATATATATATATATATATATATATATATATATATATATATATATATATATATATATATATGTATATATATATATATATATGTATATATATATATATATATATATATATATATATATATATATATATATATATATATATATATATATATATATATATATATATATATGTAGTTTTTATAGCTTTTATGTTTAGTAAATATCTTTATTTAAACATGCGTTTATGTTCATAATACATTTTTTGCTGTATTGTATTATAATCAGCAAAAAATTTATAATTTTTAAAAGCAATATTATAATAAAGTAATATATATATATATATATATATATATATATATATATATATATATATATATATATATATATATATATATATATATATATATATATATATATAAATATATATATATATATATATATATATATATATATATATATATATATATATATATATATATATATATATATATATATATATATATTTTAATTATAGATGATAATTTTACTTTTAATTATATTATTAAAAATAATAATCTACAATTTCTACAATTTGTATTTAGTGCATTGATCTAATTGTAACTAAATAAGAAATAAAATATTGTATTTTAAAATATGTAGCTGAATCTTATTTCAAATAGATAATAAATAAAATGGGAAAAGTTGCTAAGTCCCTTAAAAGTAGAACTCGCTGCACAAGTTCTCGGTTTGCAGGACTACCAAATGATCTTCCTGTTAGCGACCTTCCCACATTTAAACAAGTTATACAGTTCAGCTACAAACTCAATAAACAATTCACTGAAAAAAAATTAACTGATCAACAAATTGTTTCTCAAATAAGCATTAAACTTGTTGAGCTATGGAGAAAAGTGAACTCTAAACTCCCCTTGATCCACGAGAGAAGTATACGGAAAAAACTTGAGTTACTTTTTAAAAAAATTTTATGTGCTGAACATAAAAAATCAAAAGGGAACAAATCCAGGATTGTTTATTTGGAGAAAAATTTTGATTCATTGTTTGATTTGTCTGCTTGTAACTGTGAACTACCTGTTGCTAATTGTGATGACAGGTATAATAAAAACTTTTTCATAGAGTTTTAAATTTAAGTAATATTTTTATTAACTTACTTTAAATATTTTTCAAATTTATTCTAAAGTGTAAATAATATTTAACAAATTAGTTAAATCATTTCTGCAGACTGGTTAGATGTGACATTAAAGATTGTTTTAAAAAGCATATATTATGCAACTGTGATGAAGAAAAAAAGGTATTTAGCAACTTAATTTTTAGACTACAAAAATCAATTTTTTAAGGAAATTTACTACAGCAAAAAATATTTCATTAGGAGTGTTTACTTTTTTTTTTAATTTAGGTACCAGTAAATGAAAGGGAGTACCTAAAAGACCAAAGAGCTAAAAAAGGTGGAAAGGGGTCATTTCAGATTGGCAAAGTTGATCAAAAAGGACTAATCAAATTAAAGAATAAACAAGTAATTGGAGCATTATACAAACAAGAGTTTTGTGTGGAAAGTCTTGAAGAATCAAATTTAGTGGTAAATAGGCATATGTATATTATTTGTTAGTGATTCGTATGTATAATTAAATATTTAGAAAGAAGTGCCTTAAATTGGTACTTAAATTGGTTTAACCAATATATTTAACCAGTTTAATTCAAATCTATTTAATTTTTGTTTAGTGTGATGATCCTTGTTTTGATGATAATGATTGTGATGACGGTGAAATTAAATATGATCCAGATTTTTATGAAGAGATGTCTACTTTACATAATTACAAACACTTGCCTAACTTTGCAAAAGCAGCAATACGTTATGGAATTAGTAACAATGCCGCTGCTCATTTAGGTACAGGATTACTCATTGACTATGGCATAGTAACAGCTGCTGAAAGAACTAATATCATTACAGAAAAGAAAGTTTTTAGTGAGAAGTTTAGAATAGGAGAACAACTTGAAATTGATCATAGTAAAGAAGTTTTTCAATTAAAAGTTATCGGAGTTGATGATAAAAAAGATAAAGAAACGCTTGTTCACACAATTGCTTACAATTCAGAAGGTGAGCCAATTATAATACCTGGAATTGAAAAAGAAGCACATCTCACATTTACTGCAGAAAGTGGAACAAAAAAAAGAAATTATTTAACACATAAAATTATTACAAGTGGAACTGGAGTTTCTAAAGCAAATGCAACTAAAGAAGTTCTAACTGAGTTTGACAGCACCGAAACTCTTGAAGCTATGGTTCTTGACAATACTAGTTCAAATACTGGTACAGACAATGGTCTCGTTGTTAAGCTAGAAAAATTTATAAATAGAAAATTACATTTAGTTGGATGTCAACTCCACCAAAATGAATTGCCATTAAGACAAGTAATTATTCTACTTGATGGAAACACAAATGATCCAAAGAAATATAAAGGTCCAGTTTGTTCATCGGTTTCAGAAAATTCCATTCATGAACTCCCTTTAATAGTTTTTTCTACAATAATGTCCGAAGTTCAGTCATTTGTGGATGAGCGTGTTGTTTCTGATTTAAGTAATGACCAAAGAAAATTATATGAATACACCATTGGTATATCTACAGGTAAAGTTTCAAAAAAGTATGCAATGACAAAACCTGGACCTGTGAACCATGCAAGGTGGTTGACACTTGCATTACGGATTATGTATAAATATACTAGAGAAACAAATCCATCGGCAGAGTTGGTTATGATAACGAAGTATATAGTCCAAGTATATTCTCCAATTTGGTTTGCTATAAACGATCAGGTCGTTATAAAGATTCAGCAAAGATTCTGTTTAAATTGATTGAGTTGACTAAGTTGCAAGATAAAAAGATACAAGAAGTTGTCTTTAAAAACTTAGCTGGAAATTCATTTTGCTGTTTACAGGAGAATTTTCTCTATTGCATGATAATGGATGATGAGAAAGTAAATCGCGACAAAGCCATAGATCGAATACTCATTATTAGGAAGCTAAATGAGGAAAATAAAGAATTTGTTCCTAAGCTTAAACCCAAAACAATAATGAAAATTGATTTTGATTGTAACTGCTGGATTGATCTTGTTCAAATATGCCAAATTGAAGTGGAACCTCCTACTACAATTTATATTTCATCTGTTGAACTGATAAACGCAAAAGAATCTGGAGAGATTTTACCGCTTACATTTCTTCCAAACAACTCTCAGTCAGTTGAACGTGCAGTTAAGTCAGTAACCGAAGCATCAAAACTGGTTTATGGTCTCAAAAAAAGGCACAACTTTATTCTTACTAAAGACCAGAGTAGGAAAGAAAATCATAGAAATGTTACCAAAAGCAATTATTTTGTTCCAAGCATTTAAAAAAAAAAACTGTTAAATGTAACACTTGTAATATTAATTATAATAAGAACAATTTATTTATTTGAACTTTATTTATGTAAATTTATAAAAATAAATTTATATTAGTTTTCCAAGGTTTAGGTATTAGAAAATGAACTTATACGATTTTTTTTAAGCAAAATAAAAGGGTTAAAAAATAAAATCATTTTTAAGCCTTTTTTGTTTTTGGGGTGGTCTAGGAATTATTTAGGAAAGGTGACACAAATCTTAAATAGGCTTTTTATAAAAAAGTTCCCTAAAATAATTTTTTTTTAATATATTGGTCAGAGCAGTGGGGAGGATTCCCCACGCAACTTTACTAACTACTAACTGGAAGAAGAGGCAGTCTGAAAAAGCTGTTCTTTTATTAATTTTTTTTTTAGTAATACCTATAAAGCTATAAAGAGAAAGTTTCTTTAGACATTTATAAGTGGAGGTCCCCGGGGGCATGGAGAGTTACCAGATGGCCTAAGAAAAACCTTAATTGGCAACCCAATTATTCTGAATTTTTATATATCAGTGAAGGACCTTATTTTTTAACGTAACTTTTCTTTGGCACCCCTTGGACATCTGCGACCGGGACAAACTGTCATGTCAATGATATTGATCATTATTATTTTTGTTCAACTTCTGTTTTGCTTTTATCATATTATTGTATTGCATGGGTAGTTGGCCGTAAAATATTTACATTAATGTTCTTTGCTATCAGTGATAGCTAACAACATTGTTAAAAGCCTTAAACATAAGATTTGAACCAGTTTTTGTTAAATGCTTTATTCAACGAAAGTTTATGTATTCGCACAAAAATAACCAAATTTATCAATTTTTAAATGTTAAAGCCCGAATCAGTTTTATGTTTTTTTTATTTATTTATTTTTTTAATGTGCTTAGTTTTATACATAAAATCTTCCACGCCCATACCAATTTTTGTTTTCGAAAAATTTTGCTCAGTGGAATTGCCCTACTTCTTAGTTCCAATTGTATAGCGTTACGTACAAACGTTTGTAAGTATAAACGTCTTTAGCATATGTTGAGTTTGCATGCATTATATAGAGAAAATCGCGTATAATATATCTTTAAAATGAGAGAACTTTAAAACTTTGATTTAAATTTTAGAAATGTTTATTGCTACATTATTATTTTTTTGCTATAAGTATATAAGCATTATAAAAATAATTTCAAAGTTGATTACGCTGAGGGAAAGTCTTAAACCCCCCAAAACACAACTAATGACAGCACACTTAAATAATGAGCTATCAAATGAAATGCATTTAGTAGAAAAATAAACCTAATTGTAAGTTTCTTATAAGCTCTGCATATGTGGAAATGTGCACATGTTAAGTTTTTCATTCTTGAATGATTTTTTCAGAAAAAATCGTTTCACTATAAAATATTGAATTAAATAAGGAATAGGTGTATAAATAATCAGTGCAAAATAGATATGGATAGAAATGGTAGGCTTGGTTAAGACCCGTATTTTACGTATCCAGAAAGCTTGGACGTATAGGAAAAAAGTATAGAAAAGCTCGGTTTGGAATAGACTTACAAAGACCCGTATTTTTAAGGGTCCGATCTCAGCTAGTTATGAATAACTCTGTATAACTCTGTTACTGTACTTATAATATTGCTGGATCGGAGATAGAATAAAATAACATCTCCAAGTTTGCTTATAAAGAAAAATAAAAAATGCAGCATGACATGCAACACCCTGTTAAAAGTTTTAAAATTTTTTAATGCAATTAAAATAGAGCAACAAAATGCTGCATTATTTGAAAACAATAAAACCTCAATTTTTCAAAAAAGTTGGAAATAGGACAAATTATTTCTAACGTACAACATATGTAATACATATCATTATGTAAAAAATGTTTTTTCAGTAACAAAATAATCATTAAAATAATGACTTTCAATACAAAAAATAGATGAATAATAAAAAATAAACAAAAAGAAAAAAAAATGTGAGAGGCACAAAATTGTAATAACACGTTTTTTAATGATATTATTATTTAAAACTATCGCTACATTCGCGTTGAGTTCAATTTTTTTCCTAAGTATTAGCTAAATTACATTTATACTGTAAGACAAAAAAGAAAACTGGGGACAATAAAGAAAACTGGGGTCAAATATTAAAAAACTTGATGCCTAAAATTTATGTGAGACTTAACTTATGATAAAAAAAATTGACAAAACAAACATTAATAATTTTATTAAAAAATGTTACGAACTGTTATGAGCTATGATAAACAGACCTTTTGTTTTTTATTATTAATTTTTATAATTAACAGGCATTTAAAAATTTTTTAAAACTTTGAAGATACAAAAAAATATGCTCAAGATTTTTTACTTACCATATTTTGTATTGAATTGTTTTGATGTATATTTTATGTGCATTGGTTGGTATGTTTACGGTCTATGTGTTTCAGTGTGTGTCTTTGCTAATGTTTACTTATATTATATTAAAAATTGGTGTCACTCCTTTAATCAGGTTTCTGTTTAAGTGACACTATCCTAACAAATTATTATCTTATTATTATATTAATATTAGTTATTATTATTACTTTTTCATTGTAATTATTGTTATCATTACCTTTTATTACTATTACTATAATTTGTATAATTTTTTTTTTTTTAATCTTATGTTATTATTATATATTTTTGTTATATATTACTACTGTTATTATTATCATAACTATTGTAAAATGATTTACGGAAAATAAATAACTTGTTGTTGTTATTGTTGTTGTTGTTGTTGTTGTTGTTGTTGTTGTTGTTGTTGTTGTTGTTGTTGTTGTTGTTGTTGTTGTTGTTGTTGTTGTTGTTGTTGTTGTTGTTGTTATGTTAGAGCAACGTTGATGGTTCGGCAAAATGGATAGATTTTGTAACGTAAATTTCTTACGTTAGATTTACGTTAGATAATAACGTTTTATTAACGTTAAATTCTAAAGTTAGATTAACGTTTTAGTAAAGTAAATATAAGTTAGAAAATCATTAACGTTTTTTATTAACGTAAAATATTGATTGTAATTGTGTAATATATAATATTAATATACCAATAAATTTATATTCATATAACCTTGAGCTGAAGCCGTTTATACGCGGTTCCGTGTCGTGATTATTAAATGAATATAACCGTATAGTTTTATATATTATAGTATATTAACATTATATGTAAAACACAATTACAATCAATATTCAAAATTAATATAAATGTTTTTAACCCCTTGCAAAAGGTTAGAAAAATAGTTAAATATCGGGGACATTCAAACTAAAAATACAATTTATGTTTTGAAAGAGTTTTTTTAAAGAATTCTTATAAATTTATATAAAATTCAAAATTTAATAATTTTTTAACAACCATTTGCTTCCTCAATAAATTTTTTTCTACCATTAACAAATGGAGAGAACTTTAAAATGATTCCTATTTGATCTTTTATTTGCATTTCCGTCGAAGACTCATGACTTCTAAAATACAATTTGGATACTGTACACGGGCGGACAGTTATATATTTTATACACAACTGACTGTTTGTTTGATTTTTAAAGCTAAAGTTCAACGTTCAAGACTAATATATATCTAAGAATACAAAACATGAGAAAAGAAGAAGGGATAGAAAAAATAATATTGAGCTATTATTAACGTATTGTCGTTTTGCACATTTTTTTACCTTCGAATGATACCTTCTTTACATCACCACGAATTTTGCCTTTCATTTTCAATTTAAGCGTAATATGATGCTCCATAATTCTACAAAAACGTAATAATAAGTTAAAAATGGAAACTACTTTATTATACTACATCAAGCGATCCAGTACACTTATTTAAATAATTGTAAACACACACTAGAGCAATAATTCACAAAGTATAAGTTTCGAAAGGTTCATTACTTTTTTAAAAACGTTTTATATTCAAAGATTTGACATCGAGTAAAAGCTGAAACCTTTAGGGAATTAACTAAATGAATGGTACAGTTTTAGGAAAATACCTTTTAAAATGTTGATAAAGTTGTTTAATTTAAAAATAAAAAATTATTTGATAACCAATAAATCTCACACTATGACATGTAAATATGACATGTAAACCAATAAATCTCACACTATGACAATAAATCTCACACTATGACATACTTCTAGCACCAAAACAAAAAAGTGGCTTCGGCAGCAGAAATGTACTAATAATTTCCATTAATGCATTATTTCTAATGTTATGTTTGACCCATCATATTTAAACCATGATAGGAATAATGATTTGGTCTGATAAATTGTTGTGTCTTACATTTTTTACCACAGGAGTTTGGATATCCAGTTAATCTTAGTTGCTTGTATGCAAATTTGATTTTGTCCCTTTCAAAGCTAAAACCTAAATAAAAGTCTTGTGAAAAGTCGATGTTGGAATAAGAGAGGATTATATTTATTTGGTTGTTTTTCACAGTTGTTCTGTAAAAGCAACAAAACAATAGTCAACCAATAAGACAAAATTATTAAACAAAAAATAAATACAGAAAAAAACTCTACAGAATGTAAATGGTTATTAGGTCAATAAAAATATTTTTGAATTGAAAGTTGGAATTTACTTTTTACACCATATTCTCGTAAAATGTGAGAGCGATTTAAACAGGCTTATCTAGAAAACGATGAGCTCAAATAGCAATCTATTAAACAGACAAACTTAAAAAATAATTTTTTTAAATATAAGTTACCAATTTACTCTACTCCCCGTTGTCTTTTAATATGGTTTCAAGTTCTTAAAAATCTTCAAGGAAGTCAAGCTTTTTGAAAATATGTACGCTTACACTTTCTGACGTTCTTTTGGCATATTTGCAACACTTTTTCTCAAGAAATAATTGAAGTTATATGGATAATACTGAAAACCATATATAAATAATAACTCATACTCATGCAAAAAATCATCACAATTATTTGGCTCGTTATCATCAATAAATAATGCTACAATAAATGGTATCACTTTGTCAAACATACATAAT